GCGAGATGCACAGAAGCATGAACGTAGCTGGTCACTGGCCCCTCGAGAGCTGGGCTGCCTCCTTCCCTGCAGTTTCTTTTTAATGAAGTCTTTATTTTACAGAGCAGTTTTCGAGCAAAATTGAGTGGGAAGTACAGAGCCCTCGCATGCCCCTCCAACTCACACTAGCTACTGGGGCACGTCTGTGGCAATGACCTGATGTTGAGACAGCAATGCCAGCCTTTTTGAATGGGCTTTTATCTCTGGAGATCATGTCCGCCTCCGGCCTGTGAGGGATCCGAACTCTCTTACCGTGGCGGTTTCCGGGCAGGGTGCACGTTAGCGGCGACTTTGGCCCCTTTACAAAACCCAGACGCCCAGCCGGCACTAGGCCAGCCGAGTCAGAACCTCTGGGCGTGCGGCCTCGGTTTGGAAATGGTGGTTCTGATTGACACCTTTGGTTGAGAACCTCCAACAACATATGGCCTAGAACCAGGTCGGGTAGTTTCCAAAATTGATGCGTCATTTTCCCAACGAGTTAATGGGTGGTGTGGTGTCAGCTTTTGATACCACTCGGTCGAAGTGTTGGCGTCACCGCTCCCCTGAGGCTTCTTGCAGGGCCCATGGGGTGCACAGGCCTGTCATTCGCCTTAGAGAAGAAACTTGGCTCCACGAGGAAGGCAGACCTTTGGGTGGGAATGCATGACCTCACGGTCCTCGTTCCTGGGACCCATGGGGGGCGGGGGTAAGTCCTATTACCGACAATATGGAATCAGCATTAGGCGTTGGGAGGGGTCCCACGGAACAGCTGCTCCTCTGAGCAGCTCGCAAATGGGGAGTTGTGGGGCCGGCAGGCACAGACTTGACCGAGAGCCCGCAGTTTGCTAGGGCCCAGAGACGCAGAAGCCTGGGTGGTTCCCCTTGCGATCCAGTCCTCTCTCCGACCCCAAGAGCACGCAGTTGGTTGTCCTCACAGCAGCCACCGGCAGCGCGGGAGCATGGAGGGTGAGGGCATGAGGTGCAGTCCCAGCACCCTCGGTGCAGACACAGAAGCGGGAGCCCGAGGCAGGCAGGGTACCACCTTTCTGACGGGGTCTTGAAGTCGTCCTGCGTTTTACGTAAAATCTCCGGGCACTAAGTTGGGTTTCATTCTCAGAAGCACACCCTGTGTCTGTGCCTGTCGTATCTCTGGCTGTGTGCCCGTCTGTGTGTCTCCATGGCACCTTCTGTATGCGTTGCGTGATGGGAGCTCCGGCAGGTGCCCCAGCAAGGTGTGAGGGAGCCGGGCCACAGATGGCCTTGAGGGCAAACAGGTGGAAGGCAGGGTACGAAGACTCCGTCCTTCGATCTCTGGAAGCTCTGACTGGTGGGGGAAATGCGGGCACACGTTCCCTGACAGAAAACTCAGCTTATGTCGAAGTGATGCCAGTGCACGGCTCCATGTCAGCACCGGTGTTTGTGGGATTAATGAATGCTGCAGGGCTGGGCTGAGCTTAGGTCAAGGAAAAGCCTCATGAAGTCTGTCAAACAGGAAGAGTTTCACGAATGGAAGGGGTTCAAGCCAATAAGACACGTCTTTGGATGCTCTCAGGCCTGGCCAGAGGCCGGCCCTACTCAGCCCGGTAGCAGGTCAAGAAGTGACATCCCAACAGAGCCCTGAGGTTGAGGACACCTTCACCTGGAGGGGGTAGAGGAGCAGAGACAAGGGGTGAGCAAGCACAGCTTGTCTGGGGGACAGGCCCTGGTGACAGCAGGGCAGAGACCGCTCGTACAGAAACCAGGTGGGCAAGGTGGCCTCAGTCCCGAGTCCCGTGCGGGGGACCTTTAGTGCCACTTCCGGAATTTGGATTTTGGACTCTAGAAAATGAGAAATTCTCAAGAATTTGGATATGGTCAAACGATACGGTCACATTTATTTTAGGAGCATCCAGATCAAAGTGCAGAGGATGGACTGACTGGAGGAAGGTACCGGAAGCAGCGGTCACCAGGCTTCGTCTGACAGAGAACTTACTGAGTGCTTCCGACACGTCAGGTGTCAGGTTCCTGTTTCATGGGCTCTGGCGGAAGACACGAGACTGGGTCGGAGACAAAGGGCTTCACTGCTCATGGCGCAGCGGGCAGCAGGAGCGTCAGCACAGACACGGCTCCCCTTGGGCCCCAGCCCCACGGGGTGTGCGGAGGCTGGCATGGCCTGGGTGGACGCTGGGCGTGCATTTGGTCTGCATTGCAGCTGGGGAATCCTGAGCGTCCACCTTCCTTGGCAGGTAGTGAGCGAGACTGTCCTTTGTCCTGGAGGGATGCATTGCCTCCTTCCTCAAGGTTACCTGCTGCAGACACAGCCCCCAGGACGGCCCGGGGGAAGGGTGGTCAGGGCTTTGCCGGTGGCAGGCCCAGTGAGATGTGCAGGAGCCGAGACCCCAGGAGGGACGCCCCAGCCCAAGCACCCGCCTCGGGGCACAGGGCAGACTGAACCCACATTCTGTAAGGACCCTCAGTGCTCTGGAGTGTCCGCTACTGCTATCGGGGGCGGCAATACGGAGGAAGGCAGGGTGCAAACTGTACCGCTCTGTGCAAAAAACTGAAAAAATTCAACAAAGGTTTATTAAATGCTTATATTGCCAGGCATGGGAGACAGATACAGCAGTGAACAGACCACAGTTCCTGATGCCCAGCGCTTCCATTCCAGTCCGGCTAGACACGTAAACAAACCAGGAGGGGGCATGTCACCCAGGGCCTCACAGATCGGGAAGGACTTGACAATGACAAGGGCACGTTTTGTATGAGGGCACCTCACGACGCAATTTACATCGTAAGAGCGGCTGAGACCAGACACAGGCGGTGGGTGGGGCTGGGGAGACCAGGGGGAGACCAGCTAAGGAGCCGAGGCCAGGCATGCTCCCTTGCTCTGGGTGGCGGTGGTGCAGGAACTCACTCCCCCTGGCCTGTCACAGTTCCACATGCAGGTGGGCCTTGAGAACACTCGGCAGAGCTGAATGTCATTAGTTATATACACCCAGAAGCGTCCCTTTGTCCATTTGCTGTCGTCACAAGGGGGCCGTTTTGGGGACCTGGAAGGAGAAGCCAGGAGGCAGCAGGGTGAAGAGCGAGTAAGTGGATTTAGCAGGCGGAAGCTTATTCTAGAAGTTTGCCATGAAGGAGAGGGCTTGAGATCTTGCAAAATTTTTAAACATGCTAAAGAGATTTAAGCATGTTTAAACGCCATCGGGCCTAAGAGAGGAAAAGGTCAACCACGCAGGAGGGCACGAGGCAAGGTCCCCGAGAAGGCGGGAAAGGGTGGGATGCACAGCACAGGTGCGGGGTCGGTCCTGACAGGGAGCACGCTTCTTCCAGAGCAGAAGGGGAAGGAAGGGGTGTGCACCCAAGTAGGTGTGTAGATTCGGTAGAGCTCACGAGCTGGAGGACGCTGCAGACAGAGGCGCCCGCAGCTCCCGCCTTCGGCCTCACTGACGTCCCGGCTCACCAGGAAGCGCTGCCCCATTCGCCGCCTCCTTTTTCCATCCCAATAAGTCAAATCCAAGTTGTATCTTTCGAGCCTCCAAGGGAGGCAACGGGAATCAGGATCGACACACACAGGCCAAAGAATGGTGTTTCTCTCTTTTATTTAAAAACAGTGCTTCATTACCATTTGCAAAGGCAGAGGCAGTGCTCCTCCCTTGCTTAGAGTTTATAAAAGCCAGCAACATGATCAATAATTTATACACATGGATAGTAATACAAAAAAATAAGGAATAAAAGCTAAAGATCTAACTACTCCGACCTTCACAATTCCAGCTACTTGATAATAAGAGTAACCCAATGAATACTGTATGGTCTGAAAGCTACTATACAATATGATTCTTAACGAGAAGGGGAGGGGATCGGAGACTGTCACAAAGCCCTGGGGTGCTTCTCTGGAGTTCGCAGGGAAACAGGACCCTGGGCAAGCAGCTCGGGTGTCCTAGGAAGTGATTCTGGGGGGGAAGTTGGGAGAGAAGGCGAGGTGGTCAATTATACAAGCATCCCAGGTGATGCCCCCAAGCCCCAAAGGTACCTGTTTTGCCATGACAATGGGACGGGGCTGGAGAAACCGCACGTTGCGCGGAGGGATGGTTCAGTCCCTGCCACGGGAGGGGTGTGAGGGGTGGGGAGGAAGAGGTTTTGTGGCGTTTTTAGCCTTGTAAAGACTTGGACTGAAGCGCGAAGAGACTCTGGTAGGCCAGCCTGTCAGGGACAAGTGACCCCCTGGCTCTCCACACTCTGCAGCCCTAGCTTACTGTGTCAGCCCCAGGTTGCTCCAGCTACTCACAAGCAGAATTATAACACAAGAAAAAACAATTCATATCCCTCAGGGAAAAAAAAAGAGGATCAATTCATCACTCGATATATAATACAGCCAAAATGAGCTGCCAAAATAAGCACACACGCACACGCACACACACACACACATACACACACACACACACACACAAATACTGTGAACAGAAAAATACAAGAAAATGCCTAAGCTGGGAGTCTTGATGGGGCATAGACATTGCTTAAAGCACTTATCAGTCCCCGGGAAAACCAAACTGAAAAGATTTTTTAAAAATTCAAAAACTCATGGACCCCCTGGGAATCTGGTGTCCATAACGGGGTGGGGGGTGGGGAGGAGGAGAGAGAAGCGATGTCCCCGTTCTGCTTGCCAGCGTGAGCTGAGCCCTCACAACGCTGGCACGCACGTGACCACCAGACGGAGGCCCAAGCGCCTCGCTGGCAGTCTCCTTAAAGGCAAGGCTTGAGTTCTGGCTGATGAGCAGTTCTCTCAGTTACCAATCCCTGCCAACCAGCACTACCATGGCTGAATTGATCTACCGTTTTCCTGAGTAAACTGTAACTGGCTACAGTGCCGGTAACGTGGACGAGAACTCAGCTACTACAGCCAACGCGACACTCGAGGGCTCCCCTCCACGCCTCGGCTCCTCACTCCAAGAGCATCGGATTCAGGAATCTGAGACCCTGCTGTACGTAGTCTGGTCTGCGAGTTTCACTTGAAAGACGGGTGCCGGGGACTCCACCGCACACCCTGACCAGAGGGCGCCCGCTGGCTTGGGACAGCCAGGGCCCACTTGGGAAGGGCCCTGCTTCTTGCTCCGTCTAGCTCTCGATGGCTACTGCCTGGCTGATCAGTAAAGCAGGTATGAAAGAAGTGCGGAGGGAGGGAGGGAGGGAGAGACGAGGGTCGACATTTCAAAAAAGAAAAAAAAAGTGTTTTATGCAACGGAGAATCAAGTTTCACTGGTGTCTATTACAAATGGTCAAACATTTTCAAGAGCATGACAAAATAAAAAAACACAAATTTACGTCTGATGCTCACCTTGCCCACTATTTTTTTCCTACCTTAAAACAGTGCAAACAGGTAACTTATGCTTTTAAAACACGACTACCCCTTCCCCACCCCCCAAAGTCCCTTTCCTCCTATTATCTGGGGGAAAAAATAACCTGCAGTTCTGCAAATGTCACTGTGCCAGAGGGCTGCAAGCAGCAGAGGAGCGACTGGACCTGGCAAACGGGCAGGGCTCGAAGTGTCCCCTTTTCCCTCTGTACACATCTAGTGCCTTCCAGACCGTCCCTTGATTGGCCTCGTTCTCCTGCCAGAGGGAAGGGGGTTCTCAAGCCCTTCTTGCAAATCCTTGGGGTGCTTCCATCCCAAGCTGACACCTCCCTCCTATCTGGAGGCTATGCGACTAGTCATGGGTGACGGTGATTCTCCGACTACCTGCTACATCTCCAGGAAGGCGAAACCTAAACTAAGCGGTTCGGCCCGAGGAGCCACGCTTTTGAGGAAAAGCCGCTCTTATTGATTTTCACGGAACAGCTCTCCACTAGCTCCCCTTAAACTAAGAGTTGAGCCCCAGTTTTTTTTATGTTCCAAGAAAAATAAAATTGGCTCAATCTGACTGGGGCTGCTGGAGGATGATGCTGATAGCAGGTTTTGTAAAACCTGAGCGCCTGAAAAGTGATGAATCACAAAGGCTGATCCGGGTTAATGGGAGCTGAACTACTAACGCAGGAAATCGGGAGAAGACCTAAGGACAGCTCTCTGGGTTGAAAGGCAGATATTCGGATAAAGGTTTTCACTAGACTTCTGGTCTCCTTAAAGGAGCCCAGCTTCGAAGAGTAAGATGCTTAGAAAGTCCACATCACAAGCTCAAGTAAAGCTGTCGAAATCATCCCCGTACTGTGATTCAGCATCAGTAAGCTTTTTGGAATTATCAACCAGCATCCTCTAACGAACTCACAAGATGCCAGACTCTCTTTGTTGCTTAGTCCAGTGGGAACCAGAGTCAGGGATCTGCATGCACCGGTGCTTTGGGGAACCTGCCTCTAGTGAAATCGGCTGCATTGAGTCTCAAAGTTCAAAGGTATGGGCGGGGGATATCGTCAAACCTAGGTGCCTGTGAGAGCCCTAATTCCCAGTGCTGACACGGAAAACCAAAGGCCCTTCAGTGGAGAGCAGAACTCTATTCAGTCTTTCTCGGGAAGGGGAGCTGGAGGAAGCAGTACTAGAACCGTGCCTGGAAGCGCAGAAGCCACTGGAAAACATGGAGCTTGCCCTCGGGGTCCTCAGCCAGAACCAGCTGAACTGAAACACGCAAAAGCTACCTCAAGCTCAAGCTTCTGCCTCTTATAAAGGGCTGTGGAAGCCGCCTTCTCTACCTTTCCCATCATCCTTTATCTCCTCCTGGAAAAGAGAAGACTCTTAAACTCATCGCCCTATTCTCCCCTGCTGCGGACACACCATTTAGCATTTGGCCTTGTTTCCACCGAGTAGTGGCTTGCCATTTTGTGAGAATGGCCCCTATTTAAACGTGACCGGAAATTTCTGTTTCTTTAGTCAGTAAAAGCTCTCCCTCAAAACAAAAGCAAAAGAAAAAAATCGTCCCTGCCCCCACTCCCTAGAACTGAGAGCCCCACATCCCGTTGCCCCTCCTCTAACTAAAATATTTATATACATGCAACAAAAATTGTCTTAACAGCAACAAACCAAACTTTGGCTTGGGGAGGGGAACCCTTAAAAAGTGGCCTATGGACCGGGCTGTCTGGAGTCCCCTATCCTACGCATTCCTCCCCAGAATCGATAAGATTGCATCGAGGCCTCCAGCTTTCTTGCTGTCTCCCCGTTTCAGGGGAGAGGATTCCCAAGGGGGAGAGATATGTATTATACACGACAGGCCAGTCCTTCCCAGATACATTACTCTGCTTACAGAAATGCTTGATGCTGTCATGTGTCAGTCATTTTAATTCAGGGACACGAATCAGTCAAGAATGTGTGGAGGCAGAAGTAAAAAAAACCAAACCAAAAGCAAAGCCCTAACAAGCTGGAAGCTCCATGTCTCTGAATTACTCCCTTTAGCAGCTATCCCTCGGGTGAGAGGTCACCCTAGTACCAATGTGACCAGGCCAGGGAGCCAAACAGACCGTGCTTTTCTATTTCCTAATGCCTTCATTTTGGAAATGCTGCAGGACCCTTGCTTTTACCATTAACGGCTAATAGCTAGAAGAGAAACTGTCTCTCCCCTACCTTGAATGAATATATATATGTATATATATATAAAGAACTGAAGCCAGATAGCAAGAGCAGTGACTCACCGCCATTGCCACCACATGACTCCTTCTGACCAGTTCAGACCCTCCTCCCAACACGGGAGGGGAGCGACCCCAGGGGCTCCAATCTTATGGTCTGTAGTGTTCGTGCCCACCAAGTGGTCCAGGTGCTCAGCTGGGGGTCTTTGGAGGGTAATGAGAAGCTGGGTGGAATGGCCACGAAGGCTCAAGGTGTGGAAAGCGAAAGTGACTCATAAAGGCTCTGGAAGATGAGATTCCTATGGCTTTGGAGCTGGTACAAAGTGCCTTTGCCTGCCCTTTCACGTCCGACTCACCAGAACCTCCAGGGACAGCCGACCTAGGACTCGGTGCTTTACTTTCCGCCAGCGGAGCCTTCAGTACATGTTCTATTCTTTGCACTGACTTTCTGACGCAAGAGAAAGACTGGGAATGTCACGGAGCCTTGCCGGACACGGTCTAATATCCCTTTCTCTTCTTCACCCTCTTTACTGGCTTCTCGACAATTTGCGCTGCCAGTCCTCAAGCTGTGCCCAGATACCTGGAGGAAATCTGGCCACTGGCTACTTGTTCTTCTGTCCCTGGGTCCTAAATTCCTGAATCTTGAGGACATGGGAACAGGGTGCTAATAAAAGGATAGATGAACTAAGCTTGGTTCAATTAAAGGAGTGCTAGGGTGACAGGAAAGGAAAAAAATGATTATTTTCATACCCCCGAGTTCATTCTGAGATTGGTTTCCTAATGAGGTGTTTATTATCCACAGTCTGAGAGCACGTTTGGAAATATTAATACTATAATTCCAAAAACTGTGCCAACTGTCTCAGGCTGTGCACGTAAGATGCCTGTAAGAAGAACGAAGAAGACAGGAGGGAAGAAGAGAGGAAAGTGTCTCTTTTTAATTCTCCTGCTTTGCAAGCACAAATTCCTATCCTCTATCAGCATGTGGATTCCAGCCACAGCCAGTCAGAATTGCCTGCCAAAGACCAGAAACTCAGAAGACTAGAAGAATATCCTGCTGCAGAAAGATCTCTTCCGCTTCTGCTTGTCCCCCAGCCGTTCAGCACCAGACGCACTTTGGTTATTGTCTGATTTCTGATCAGATTGCATTTATCAGCTCCTTACGTCTCTCCTTCCTCATTAACTGCCTCTTCCGTGATTGATAGAATAAGCTAAGCACGGACATACAGACATGGAAATGCATTATTTTTTTTTTTTTTTTACCACAGTTAAAAAAAAAAGAAAAAAAAAAAGAAAAAAATGCACAATCTTTGGAACAAAAGAATTAAAGGCAGAAATTTAAAGGAAAAATACATATTCAAAGAACATAGTGAGGTATAAAAAAGTATTCTCTCTTTTTTTGTGTTTTTTTTTGTTTGTTTGTTTGTCTGTTTGTTTTTCCTCTTCATCGTGCTATAGAGTTCCTCTACTAGTAAATATTGCAATAGCCGGGCCTCGTGAACTGGGGGGCTGTCCCACTTGCGGGGTCTCACGTCACTTCAGTAGGGGGCAAATCGGCTGTAGCCACCTCGGTATAAACTCGCCTGCAGTAATTAAAGACATAAAAATGGTTAAAAGGTTGATGAGAGAAGCATTAAAAATGAAGACAACTGTCCTGAGGAGGGATTTGGAAAACTGCTTCCTTAGAAGCTTCAGAACAACTGATTAGGTGATGCCTGGTACAGTGAAGCCAGGAAACCAACTTCTGCCTCTAATCTGCTCAAACAAGAGTCCACAATATTTATTGCGAACCTCAGGGAGAGATTCTCAGGGAGAGAGTGTGATAATGGTTTATTTCAATATTTCCATGAATTAGCACAGAAGGAGAACACAATACAGTTCAAAACTGGCCTGTACATAGTGTGGTTTTTAAAGCAGGGGTCTTTGCTTACCTTGGTCGCATCACTACAATTGTGACCTAAAGCACATTGATTTTACCTTCTTACGTATTACCTGTCAATTCTGACCACTATCTCTGTCATAGCCTATGTTTGAGGTGGTGCTGGATTTAAACCCGTCATCAATCTCTCAACTAATAATGTTTCCTATATAATCTGGAAAAGATACCGATAGCTTGTTTTTTTTTTGATATATCCAAATTTACATGTATATTATCACTGGGGGTTTTAACTGGGCTTTATTCCTTTGTTTTATTTATCGAAGGGCTTCTCTTTTCAAATAAAAGTTCCCTAGGAACATAGCTCTCCTTGGGTCATTCTTTTAGTACAGGACTTACATCATGTTAGCACTAAATAAAACCTCAGGAACTCCAACAATTAAATTGCATCAATTCTAATACGCACCCTTCCCCCGGACCCTATTACTTCCTCCCACAAATCTTCATTAGTGGAAATTTAGTGTGAGACAAGGACGCATTCACTCAAATTCCTTTAAGTCTTTTTTTTTTTAGGGAGACAATTTTATTTATTTATAAATTCCTGTAAGTCTAAAATTTGACATCATTCTGCCTCCCTCTTGAAAATCTTCGTCCACGTGTAGGCAGAGAATGTCTGGCACTGGGAGGTGTCATGCGGAAAGGCCTGTCTTTGCCTGAGCCAGTCCCGATGACTGGGCATGGAGGCGTCCAGGCCAACTCAAAAACAATGCGGTGAGGATTCGTGTTTGGTTAGGGGAGGTTATTCTAGATGAGCTCTGTGGATTTTTTTCTTTACTTCTATTAAAATACCATATTTCGTCACAGATGTTACTTATAAAATACCTTTACAAGGCATTCACTTGGTAGTTCTATCTACCAGAAGGCCGAGGAACAGCAGACACATCCTTTGGCATCTGCGTTTGAAACTTATACACATTAAGGTTTTCTGAAAAGCTTACAGCGAAAATTGAGGAGTCTTATGCCCTGAAGCTTTTGCTAACACCTACCAACAAAACTACGCGACAGGTCTGCATCTAACGTTTGCGCCAATATAAAACAGCGACCTGTTGTTCCCGTCCTTCTCTCCCAAACAATGCCATTACTCAAGGCACAATGTCACTATTTGCTCCTTTCTGCTGCCCTTAACCAGGCAGTGTGGCTCGAACGACAACACACAGGGAAAGAAAGTGATATGAAATCCTCAGACAGTCCTCTGTGGTCTTGATACTTTGGCAATGGAAGATGGGCTAAACTTATTACTGCCCTGGATCTTTTGAGTCTGTAGGTAAACGTTACAAGGAGTAAACTATTTTTTAAAAAACAGTACATATACTTACCACAGCGCCAACTCCATAGCTAGCGGCAGGGGCAAGGGCATGGTAAGGGTCGGCTGTGTACACCCTGCCATAACTGGAAAGAAGAAATACAATCAGGGAGAGGAAGAAAAGAGAGGGATCCAAAAAGCTTAAAGGGTTTACTGTGCTGAGGACTGTGAGTAACGTGGTCTTGGAAGGTCGTTAGGAAACTGGCAGAATGGAAAAAACCTTCCTATTTCTACTCCTAAATGAGGTGCTCTGAAAAATTCTGAAGTACTTCTCTAAGACGGAAAAGAAGGGAACTGGAGGTGACAAAGAGGGAAACTAGGGCAAGAGATGAGAACAAGAGAGAGGGGGCAGAGGAGTCAGTGCCATGTGCAACTCGCAGGAGAGGCCACCAGGAGAAGGCTGAGAAAACCCAGGTGTGCGGGTAGCCGCGGGTCCTGGTGCTGCACTGGAGGTGGGGAAGGAGAAGGGGGACGTCTGGGGATGGCGCGGCGCTCGCTGACGTTCGTACGTACCCGTCGCTGTAAGCGGCAGCAGCGGCTGCAGCAGCCGTGGCTGCGGTTGCAGTAGCGGGCTGTGCATATCTGTAGGCTGCATATCCGCCCTACAGGAGAGAAGAGAACTGACTTTACAGCTACCTCTCCCCCTGGAAGGGCGGATGAACATACACCCACCCACACGCAGACTGACAGACGCAGGGACAGACGCAAACACAGACACACACATGGGAAGAGAATGTTTCAAACTGCATCAGTCTGCATGTTATTCCTCTGTACAAGAGTAAGCTCCACCCAACGCGGGGATGTGCTTTCCAATTTGTGACAGTCGTTAAAATAAACCATATTGGTAGTGCCTGTTCTCAAATTTAAGAAATGAAGATATGAGTTTGGATCTGTCTTACTTCTGCTGGAACTTTCAACAGGGAAACTATTTAGAGGAAGTCGGAGAATTTTATCTGACTGGTGGGAAGTATAAATTAAAGAATGGAAACATTAAATTTATATGTGTGAACTTCAGATTCCCTGATGTGTACTCGGATTGGTTTACTGACTACAGTATATAAAAGAAAGGTTCACATAGGGCTGTGCTCCATTGACTCTGCACATTTGCCAGGAGGCTAAGCTCGTCAGACAATATTCAGAAGGAAAAACCAGCGTAGACCGGGGGCTGGCAAACTTCGGTCTGTGAATCAATGTAACTTGCCACCTGTCTTTGAAAGTAGTTGTGACAGCGACCGTATGGCCTACAAAACCAAAAATATTTACCACTTGGCCCTTTGTAGAAAAAGTCTGCCAACTCCAATCTGTATTTCAGACTCAGGCAAATCAGATACAAATGGCTGAGACTCCTTTGGCTGGATAAAATAGAGTAAGACACCCCCCCACCCCCACTCCCAACCCCCAAAAGCATTTAATTGCATTTATTCTCCTTCCTTAAAAGATTCTGAGATTCTCACAACCTGAACTCACAGGAGGCTCAGGAGCTTTTCTTCTAATGGCTCAAACACCTTCTCAGCACTAAAGAATTTCAAATGCTTATGTCCTGCGATTTCGGCTCAGTTTCGATGAACCAAACACTGCAAACAAAGGTCTGCTCTGTCGGGGTGAACCCATACGCTTATCCACAGGGTAGTCCAAAGGCAATCACAGCTGCCACACCAATAGGCCACTACCAGGTGGCAAGCTCTACCTTTTCTTTTTTCTTTACCCTTCTAGAATTCATATATTCTATCTAAATCTAATTCAGGTGTGAATTATTATTGCTTTTCCTTATCAAATATAACTATGTTCAACTAGTCCATTCCAATACCATTTCACTCATGAACGACAGCATGTTTCATTTCTGTATATTAGGTGTGTTTATTTCTCACGGACATCTGAAGCTTTCTGCCCCGTGCTTTCTACTTCCTATTCCTTCAAATGTTCACTTTTTACTAAATCTACACAAGACATTTCAAATTTACTTCTGTATCATGTCTTAGGACTGATAATAATAAAGGCTTCTAAAGCTTCTTGCCTTTTTCTTATATAATTTATGCTTTCTCTAACTGAAGAAACTGCATGGTGAAGGAAAATTTACTCTTGCTCTTTAAATTTATCGGCTTAAAGTCATCAGAAGTAGTTTTAAATGTACGTTAAAAAAAATCCGATTGGCTCTCAGTGGTTATATATTATTCCTTTGTTCTTCAACGGAATGATTTAGAAAAGTAAACACTTCTTTCTCGATTACAAATTCTTCTACAGATATTCACATAAATAAGAAAATTCTAATTAATATTACCAAACACTGACAATGAGGTGGTAATGACAGGGATATGGCAGAAAGCATCCTTGGGGGCTATGTGTGATCAACGTGTTCCCTCCGCATTCTGGGCAGATCTAGGGGAATGGGCAGGCCAGATCGACTTGGGCAAAGCTGAACATTCAGGCTGCAACATGTACACATGCATATGTACATTATTTATAAACTAACGCGTCTCTTTAACTGATTTTTAAAAGACCTCTAAAAAGGCAATGAAACAGTAAAAGTATTTGTTTAAAAAAAACTAGCTAATCATTATAGCTGAAATTTTTAACTTTATGTGAATCTAAAAGGCTCAATTTCTCATTATAACTAGAGATGGTTCCATTAGTTTAGAATTAAAGTTTGCTACTGTGACATCTACAGTAGTGTTATCTTTAATAAAACTTCTTTGTAAACAAGGATAATGTGGTAAACAATCATTATGTGGTTTGTCTCCAGCATTCCCTCAAACACCAAAATAATCTTTAAAAATTGTTAAAGCCAAGGTAATAAAAGTAGTTAAAACCAAAAAAAAAAAAATAAAAATAAAAACCTGCAGCTCGCTGCTAGCATTAAATTTTACATAAACATGCTCTTTGAGGCTGAAGCAAATCTGACTGGTTTTCAATGTGGAAATAAAATATAAAACTTGTTCTTGGAGTTATTTCTAAACAGAACTTGTCTCTAATCCTAATGCAACAGAAATGTGTACACAAATCAGATTCATCAAATGAATCTTCGTCTAACTGTTCGGGAACCATTCTTACATCACACATAAGAATGCTACATTTTCTAGGATCTTCATTTTCAGCCATCGAGAATTACCATATTTTGTAAATGGAACTACCACTACTAAAAACAGAACGCTATAAGTAGAATGATGTCATTTGTTTCCAAAGACTATCGATACACTAGAGATGCGAAAATAATAATAAAAGCGAGATATTTCGTGGCAAACTCGGGGCGAGGTTAGGACTGTAACCCGCGAGTCATCTTGGGGGAAAATGCAGCCTCAAGCGCCGCCGGGGAGTGTTCTTGGGGCAAACGGGAAACGGGTTAAGGGATTCTGAGGCCCCAAAGTATGGTCCAGACTCTCGGTAAGTCAGACACTGGGGAGTGTATCAAATCAACACAGCTTTCGGCCGCACTGCACTGATTCTGCAAAAACAGGTTCGGTATGAGGGTCCTGACAGAGCCACCTCCCCTCACTTTCCTCAGCCTGCAGGAAGCCTCAGGACCTCAGTGCTTTGGGGGCAATCTCACCATTACTCAAAACGATTTAAAACGGATCAGACTGTGGGAAAAGCTTCCTCTAGCTGTGGTCGTTTCCTTCTGCTGTAAGTGAACTCTGACTCTGGAGTGTGAATTCGATGGGGTTCTCTGCTATTCAAATTCAGGAAAACAGGACAGGGGTGCAAACATTTTATTGACAAAAGGCTCGAGAAGAATATCAGCATTAAGAAAAACTACATTAATTATTTTTTTGTAAAAGCAGATATTTCGACGGGACTACTCTAATTACTGTATGATAACGGTCTACAGAGAGGCCCTTTAAAGGGAGTCTGTGTTTAGGACCAGCAGGTAATATCCTTATAAACTACTCTGGTAAGTCATCGATAATTCCCCCCAAATTAGAAAAATTAAATTGTATATCGTGGATTTATTCCTCTTAGAGGTATTCTTGCTGCAAAGTATTTCATCTCCTGCTTAAATTGGTTATTCAACAAAATACATCACATAATGTAAAATACAATATAAAGAAAATTCAGAGATATTTATTTCGAGTCCGGATTTTGGAGTGCATAAAGATGCCAGGCTGAGAAACTTTTTTGAATTTTACTCCTACTACCAAACGTAATGTCTTTTATGCAACATGAGAACAAAGTGCAGTTTGAAACACCAAGGTTTTCATTACTGTTTCTTAAGTTTTTCAAAAAGAACAAGGGTGGGGAAAGGGGGAGGAGAGACAGGGTTCAGGCGTGGGGAGGGGATATGGCGCCACATTTATTAATCACATTAAAAACTAAGCATGCCAACATCTGGAGCTAAAACAACCAGCAAAATCACCACGTTCAGACTCGTAATGGCTAACTCTATCTATCCCAGCATTCTCTTGGGACAGCGGTTTGCCCTAGGCTCTACCACAAGCTCGGTGAAGTACACAGCCTCAATTACTAGAGCGTGCAGCCACAACGACCTGGTATTACGGAAACAGTCAGTCACCACTTGAGTTAACATTCCATACCCTAACGACTGGCCCCTCCCCAGCCCAAAGAAATGGTAAATCTTGCCCACCCTACCCCTGGCCCACACCACAATGTTAATAATTGTAACAAGCAGTAACCCATCTGTTATATCAGAGAAGGGAACAGAGACTCCACTGAGAGATTTAGAGTGAGATGTTAACATTTCTTCAGCTGACTGCACAAACAAACCATTCCATACCCTAACGACTGGCCCCTCCCCAGCCCAAAGAAATGGTAAATCTTGCCCACCCTACCCCTGGCCCACACCACAATGTTAATAATTGTAACAAGCAGTAACCCATCTGTTATATCAGAGAAGGGAACAGAGACTCCACTGAGAGATTTAGAGTGAGATGTTAACATTTCTTCAGCTGACTGCACAAACAAACAAACAAAAAAAAAAAAAAAAAGAGGAGAAATAATTCATTTGGAGATATGAAGTCATGAAATAGCTGATGTGTATCGCTTTTAACCATGCACTGATGCAGAACTGAAGCAACCATTAATAATAAAAATTAAAAAGGACATATGTATTTACACACAATCAGACCTGTTTGATCTGAAGCAGTTTGCAGATTCTATCTGTGTGTGATTTGAAATAAAACAAAAAATGGGGATTAGCATGGCCACAGCACACCCTAATGTCGGAGGGCACACACAGACAGCTTTGGGGAGCCCTGAGAGCTGGGTAAATTCAGCATGGCTAAGCCTGATCCAAACACACATCTGCCCCTTTAAAAATAATTACTTTCTCATTCCTTTGTGACTCCTCCTGAACGACTCCTAGGGTTCCCAGCCGGGGCAGCCTGATGCTACCTCACTCCCCTCTTCCGCCCTCCTCGTCCTGACACCCTGACTCAGTCCTGACCCGCAGCACTCACTTGTACGCTGGCCCTCTCAACACCCATCCATTCTAGTCCAGTGTTCTTCTAACATATCTCCTGCTTAAGCATTGTATCTTTTCACATAGCCATAACATATCTCTGCCTTCAACTTCCAATTTTCTCAAAGGAAAATGCTGTTACCTTTAAGATCCTTGTGTGGTTGTTAAAGTCTCAGTTTTCCATGGCTCAATGTCACCTCCTAAGGCTCTTCTACTGCACTCTGAATCTAGTTTGTAATCTAACTTTTGAACATTGCCACACTGACCACATGATTTTTCTGCACAGGTTTGCAGTTGTGTTTTAAACTAGAACAAAATGAAAGGGTTCTACTTATCGTCCCTCCTATATTTGACCTTTATCTGCATAACTCTTAGCTTAATCTCACACTGGCAGACTTCCCCCTGGTCTTGATTTTAACCTAGCTTTTTATTTGATCATATTTTCGTTTTAGGTTTACATTAAAACAGGACTTTGGTGAGCATGTGATGTCAAGACACCTTCATTCTACCTGGAAGACAACGACATTATGACACTGAGGAGAAGAGTGTATATTTCAAGACCAGCAGACAAAATGAAAGCTTGTTCCCTACATGTGGTGTGTAGGTTTAGAGAGCAAGAGTGGGGCGGAGGGGGAGGCAGGTGTGTGGGGAGAATGGCAGGTGCGGTGCTTAACATCACTGCAGCAGAGCAGAGACCGATTCCCACTGGCGTGTGCTGAATGCTGAGCCTCT